ATGTGTTATTAAATATAAAATTTATATATTTTATAACAAAATGAGTTTATTTTCGTAAAAAAAAATACTACTATTAGTTGTAATACTAATAAAAATACTATGATACTGAAGTTAGCTGTCAGCTGTCAGTAATCAGTACGTCAATTACAAATTTTATAACTTTAATCTTCAAAATTGACTTTTAGTTTTTAAATAAACAAATGATAATACAATTTATATTATATTCCATAATTTCGAAATTAGAAGTGGATAGATTAATCATACATTCATTAGTAGTATTATTTTTTTATGATGATTAATTAACTGCCCTGATAAAAAAATTGACTTGACTCAAGAGCCAAACTCTTGAACCAAGAATTTCATTTTGAAGAAAATGATTTTCTTGAGTCAAGTGAATAAATTCTTGAGCTAAGAAATTATTCTTGGTCTAAGAAAATTTTCTTGAGTCAAGAAAATCATTTTCTTCAAAATGAAATTCTTGGTTCAAGAGTTTGGCTCTTGAGTCAAGTCAATTTTTTTATCAGGGCAGTTAATTAATCATCATAAAAAAATAATACTACTAATGAATGTATGATTAATCTATCCACTTCTAATTTCGAAATTATGGAATATAATATAAATTGTATTATCATTTGTTTATTTAAAAACTAAAAGTCAATTTTGAAGATTAAAGTTATAAAATTTGTAATTGACGTACTGATTACTTCGGGCTGAATTGTATGAGTATAATAAGATACGTCACAATTGTACCGAAAATCTGGAAACGTTAAATCAAATTAAAAAACATAAATATCATTTTATTAGTTTCTAATTGTTAAAATATCAATTACCGATTGCAACAGAAAACCATCTAACACTATGATTCCATAAGAACCAAATTCAATATTTCTATATAAAAGATTGGCTGAAAATTCAAGTAACTAAAAAAGATAATAATATTAATTTTTAACATATCGCGTGCCTACGGCAAAAAGGGACTCATCTCAAACTATACGCCCTTTTTATCTGTATATATACAGATTTTCACTTACAGTTTTTCGAATTTTTTACAAATGAAATTAAAAAAAAAATTTTTTGTAAAATTTTTTTCAATAAAAAAAATTCTAAAAATTTTTAGATGTCGGCTAACTTTATTATCATTGTTAATTTCAATATAATTAATAATTCCAAAAGAAGTGCCCATTTTACCCCAAACGTTCGATATGCCCACTTTTACTACTTTCCTAACCTAAAACTAAAAATCATTGCTTTGAGTATATTCAAACATACCATTTATTTATAGTTAACAAATCTGATTTGGTTGAAATTTACGATTGTTACCACCAAAGAAATATTTGTTAACTATAAACAAATATGGATTTCATTCAAATATACTACAACTTTGTCTCAAATAAATCAATTTATTTGAATCAAATGAATATTTCTGGTGATATTTAAATAAGAGATTTATTTATAGTTAACGAGCCTCATTTCATTCAAATGAACTGTTTTCTCAGTGTAGGAAATTAAATTCTCTACAAAAGGGTTTCTTTCGGTTTTAGATGAAGTTCATATCTATCGAGATAATCTAATTAATAAACTCATAAACTTCATTAAGTCAGTCTTTTACCACTAAAAACTTTATTTTTCCAGAAATATGAACAATTTTATAACTTGTATTCACAATAAGTTATTTAAATAGGTCTCGTAAATGATAACAAAGTTATAGTTGATATTATTTCCTTATTTTCAAAACGGAAATGTGCAAATTTATTTCTCATATACTGATTTATCAATTCCAAGGTTTGAGTAAGCTTTCTTTTGTATTTTGTATGTTCCGAGCTCTGTAATCATCCAAAATTTGAATAATAAACTGCTTCTGATCTTCATCTTTCGTAAACAAATCATTGTATTCTCGCATTAATTTTACACCACGTTCAGCAACATCGTTCACAACTGGTAAATTATTTACAGCGTTCAAACAGATCTGATAATTTATATTTTCTTGCCAGTTTTCACAATCGATTTACAACTTCTAATCAATTGACAAAAAACTGTCTTCCGCTGCTTTGAAAAAAATTTTGATTCATTTATGGTACCTAACTCCAAAAAACTGTTTGATGACATTATTCGATGACGGTGTTGACAAAGAAACGAAAAAAAAAATGGTTCAAAAATTGTCCGATACTTCTAATGATGAACTTAATTCTTCAGATGACAGTCAAATCTATAATTCAAAAAAATTGGTAATAGCTAAAAAAGATGTATCAAAATTATTCGACCAAAGATTAGAACAGTTCGTTAATCCTTCTTCAATTAATTTCTTTCTTAAACTGGGTATTTAAATAATTAATTGTGAATAGAAGTTATAAAATTGTTCATATTTCTGGAAAAATAAAGTTTTTAGTACTAAAATGACTGACTTAAAGGGGGTAGGGTTTTTAAAGCGAAAAAGAAGCATATTTTTGTAATTGTTTTGCGGTAATATGAGTGATGTAATTTTATTAAATTTAATTACACGTTATGGTACAACTATTGATGTATGTCAGAAAAAATTTTCAATGAAAAATATTAATACATAAGCCCATGACGTTGAATCTCCAGAGGCGCCTTGAAAAAAAGGAGTTTTACGGTGAACATTATAACTCGTTACCGGATCATCTGAAACAAAAAAATTGATATGCGTTTTGAAGGGGATATATTTCTCGAGGTAATCAGAAAGAGGTTTTTTTTTTTTTATTTTTTACAGTACTTGAAAGTGGAAAACGTGATTTTAGCTAAGAAAATCGCGGTTAATTTGTTGTTAAAAAATAGACAAAAATGAAAAAAAAAAAAAAAAACTCTTCCTGATTACCTCGAGAAATTCATCCCCTTCAAAACGCATATCAATTTTTTTGTTTCAGATGATCCGATAACGAGTTACAATGTTCACCGCAAAACCCCTTTTTCTTTTTCAAGGCGCCTCTGGAAATTCAACGTTACCGGCTTATGTATTAATATTTTTCATTGAAAATTTTTTCTGACATACTTTAATAGTTGTACAATAATATGGAATTAAATTTAATAAAATTATATCACTCATATCACCGCAAAAAAATCACAAAAATATGCTTTTTTTCGCCTTTAAATCCCCCCCCCCCTTAATGGAGTTTATAAGTTTATTAATAAGATTATCTCGATAAATATGAACTTCATCTAAAACCGAAAGAAACCCTTTTGTAGAAAATTGAATTTCCTACAAGCTTGTTTTCATGATTTCTTGTCCGAATTTAAATACCGTAACAAATATTTCAAAAAGCTATAATTTTATCGATAAATCTTCAACTGAAAAACTTCAATTACCCGTCGGCACGTGTTCTTTTTGTTTAAAATCAAAAAGCAAAATTTTTCCTGTAGTTTCTCGTCCCAAGGAAGAATTTTTTTGGGCGCCGCAAAAAATTTAATTTTTAACGACCACCCTAATAAATATTTTAAAAACTTGGGGAGCTCTAAGATTTGCATATCTTTGAATTTTTAAGCGTTATGAACATAGCGGGAAGTTCCAGGGATGGCTTTTAGGGTCAACCATTTTCCAGATTTTCTTTCTGCAATATGTTACTTACATGATTAAAAATTACTTTGCACTCCTTCTTGCACTGTAAGAAAATTTCATGAGATCTGAATGACTAATAATTTTCCTTAAAAAAAATTATTTTTTAATAATTTAATTAGTAAGTTACCATGTTGAATTGTCCACATACTCGTAAACTAATTAATTAAGTTGAATTATTGAACGTGATTATAATGGAACATTTTTTATTACCTTATTAAGAATTATTTTTATAGTGATGAAAAAGTTAGCTTGACAAAAGATAAAAATCTTGACCAAGCAAAGACTTTTAAACTTGGTTCAAGAATTAGTTTTTGCTTGACTCAAGATAATAAGTTTCGTAAAAATAATTTTCTTGGTATAAGATTTTTTTCTTAAGTCGAGTTAACATTTTTTTTTTCTCAAATTTTAGAAGCAAAATATTATATTAGCATAACATCGTGTTACAAATATCAAAAAGACGTGTATCAGTAAAAAATACAGTAGAAAAATCATAAGAGTGTATAAAAAAAATTTAATTTTGGGAATATTTGTAGCTATAATCTAAGAATATTAATTTAACGAGAAAAATTTCGATTCAAATTTTACAATTTTTTTCTTGCTAAATTTACACATCTAGATTATAATAGCATCGACTCCTGAATTATTAAATTTTTTTCCCTCTTTCCTACGCTCTGTTACCTTTTTTCTATTAACTTTTAGTGAAAAACTAAAGCGACCATTTGTGTAGAGAATTTAATTTCTTACAAGAATATAACAGCGAAAATTGGAAAAAATTTTTTTTGATCTGGTTATTTTGAAAATCGGAGAGATAAATTTTTATCAATGTATTCCAAATGCTAAAGGGGATTCCCCGATATGCCAGCTCAACTTTCGAGATATTGAGTAAAAATTTTAGGAAAGCTTTTGTTTGCATCAACAAAACTTTTAACATACAATTATTCAAAATAAAAAAAAAAAATTTGTTTTCCTGACACTGTGTAATAGAGGCAGTTGCTGTTTTTGCGACTTTATTTATAAATAACTTTTATCTTAGTAGAAACAGTTCATTTCTAAATCGTGTATAAAGAAAAGCTCATGATTTTATTTTTGATTTAATCTACAAATTTTTCATCTTATGATACTATTTAGTGATTTTAACAAGATTAAACGTGACTTAAAACTATTTATGGGTAGATTTTACTAAAATTTGTCTATTGAATTTGTTCTCATAATCAAAGTAACAACTAGTTTGCTTTTTTTATATCTTGAATAAATGAATAAATTCCTATGAATCAATCTATTCTACGAAATATATCTTCCATCTCAGGTGTGGCTAAAGGCAGTTTTTTTTCTTAATATTTTAATTAAGTATATGACTTAGTTTTTATAGTTTTCGAATACTTTATAAAACTTAGTTTTGTTTTAATTTTTCATATTTTATTATTTTTTATTAATTTCTGTTGTAAAAATTTTTATTTATTGCCGAGAACGGTGTAAAAGAACTTAGTTCTTCAATAGAAGTTGAAGGGTTTAATGATATGAGCTCTTGATGATCCAACATGTCAGGAGATACAGTATGTATTCGATTTACACTCTCTACTTTCTTGTTTAAGTGACGTACTAAGAAACGATCGGATTTAGCAGTCGAAGCGCCTCTGTAATATAATAAAATATTGATGAATTTATGTCTTAAAGAGAGTTTTCAAAATAGAATAAAAAATTTACCTTTTTACATAAAAATATATAAGCCCAGTGAAAACAATGAGGAGTAGCAGTAATGGAATGAGCCAATACAAAATGTAAGACTTTTTGGCATTCGTACCCACAGTAAATGACGGTGACTTCCAAATGATCGATTTTATTGTATTACTTTCATACACTACAATCACAATAACGTACGAGATCTCTTTATGGAGTGGACAATTTATATTTCCATTATAGCTCTGACCATCTCCAACCACGAATATTCGATTTACTTTTTTGCGAGTCTAGAATCAAATAGACATGAATAAAATTTATATATAAATAAATAATGTAAGTTTATTAATCAAATTTTTACTGCAAAAGAAGCAGCAAGCCACGCTGATTCATGATATTCAAGTCCAACATCAGTCTCAAGAGTTGATTCTAAAATCGTGCCTTGTTCACACATTAATCCTCCTTTAACCACAATGTTGAGAAGACTATTTACTGTGTTATTTATGAGTGATGGGATTACAAGTTTTATTGTTGAATCATCATCACCAACTATTAAATGTGGTTCAAATTCAAAACTTAATGTACTACGAGTTTCAATATGAGCAATAGATTCTGAACCATTTTGTGATTTAGTAGTTGGTTTTATTGATATTTTATACAAAGTAGATGGTAATAAGTATACTCGAGTACTGTAATCTTTTTTATACTCTTGAATTGGGAGGTCGATATTTTTAATATTTTTGTGGAAATAATCCTTTAGTTTCTCTAATCTCGATGAAATGATTTCAACATTAATCATAAAACTCTTTAAAGGCCCTCCAGTAATGTAAGGATGTTTCCATTGTATATCAATTACACCTTTATCTATTTCGTTGATTGAAATTAATTCAGGTAAGCTTGGTGCTAAAAACGATTAATAAAAAATGTAAATGATCATCATTTTTAAAACTTCATAATCACAATTTACCTCCTTCATGATGTTGATATTCAACTGTATTTACATCACCAGCTTTATTTACGTCTTTATTGTAAGCTCTCACCTCAATGAATTCGCGAGTTCCAAAGGGTTGCTTAATTACTGCACAAATTAAATCTGTCCACAATTGACATGTTTCATTGGGATAAACATAAGCAATGTCAGTAGTTTCAATATTTATTCCAGAAAATCTAATAGCATAATAAATAATTTCTCCATTCGTTGGCGGTGTAGGTTTTTTCCACCGCAATTTCAATGTTTGTTCCTGTTGATTAACTTCAACGATCTCCAACATTTCCACTTTTGGTGGAGCTAGTAATAAAAAATTAACAGTTTAAGTCTAAAAATCTATTAAAATCAATATTTATAATTATAAATTTATTATGGTACAACTTACGACGTGGATTAGTGACAAACGATATTTCTGCGTAAGCCGTTTCATTGTGTAATCGTTTTGGATAATGAAGAACATAAACCCGAGCACGATATTGCTCTGATCCATAAATCCCATCAATATTTGTTAAATTCACAGTAAATTCTCCTTCTAAACTTTGATAACTAAAGTTTTTAACAGACTGGCTCAATCCCACTAAAAGAAATCGAGCATCGACAATTGGTCCTGTGATTGTTGAACAATTTAATGGTTTTTTCCATGTTATTAAATCATTTTCAAATTCGAGATCTTCAAATACCTCCGTTGGTATTTCTATACAAGTATTATTCATTCATGTTAGTATATTTATTTATTATAAAGTTTATATTGCCGAGAAATAATAATTTCTTACCTAACTGATCAGTATCCAAGCGTGTTTTACTTTCAACTCCAATTTTGGTATTAAAAGCACGAATCGTAATTTCATACATGACATACGGAATTAAATTAGTAAATTTATACGACATTCGAAAAGTTTCAGAGTCATTTATTATTACAGTCCGTGGGTCTATTAAGTGTTTAGGAGTAACCGAAAAATTATCTTCACATCCAGCATGTTTTCTTACCTAATGATCAGTTTAAAAATAAATTATTCATCAGAAATAACACAAGCTCAATCTCACTAAAAGTATTAATTTTTTTTTAACAATTACCTGAATAGTTAAATTATATCCAAGTATTTTTCCGTTTGGAAATATTGGAGGAAACCACTCGATTATTGCTTCGGTTGCATACACTGAGTCAGGTCTTATCAGTTCCACTTCAGATGGTTCTATTAATAACAAATTTTTATATTAACTTTCGCCAGCTAATGTGCATTTATTTAGATTAATTAATTACCTGCTTCTAATGTTTGAACTTGCTGACAATAGCTAAATTTAACATCCAAATTTCTAATACAAATTTTGAAGTCTGTATATGGAGCCAAATTTGAAAATAACATCGGAAACTTATGGGGTATGTGATTTATATCAATTGAATAAGATTTGTTAGTACTGGAAGAAACCATTGCTAGTTCTACAGAATACCAATTATCAGCACATGGAGAGTGTTGCTTAGAAAAAAAAAATTAAATTAATACTTGAAGCTTGAATATAAAGAAATGGTAAATATTTCTTACCTTTTGAGATACTCGTTCAAGTAATATACTTCTTTCTCCGGGTTTTATTTCAAATTTTGAATCCCCTGAAAATTTTTTTCGAAAATTACATCAATTTCAAAATTATAATAAATTGTACTTACAATCGCATGATGTTGAAAAAGTTTTTCTTGCACCTTCCATATGCTTGTATTGATTTTCATCATAATGTATAGTTGACAATGATCTCACTGAATACTTTGTGCCGACAGTTAAATTTGTAAAAACAGCAGAATAAATTTTTTTTTCTATGTTATTAATGTTTATATATTCTTCTGTTGCCAATTTACTTTGACTGTTTTCTGTGTCTGACTGATAAATAATTTGTTTATAATTAAAATTATGAATTCATGTATGAATAATAAAGTATAAAAAAAATACCTCAATTTCAAATATGAATAAAATTATAACGTGTTTATATTCATTTAATTCTGGTAAAAAAACTCGAACTGTTGTCTCATTAATGTGATCGACACTAGGACTTGGTGGTGACTCAATCACTTTAGTAAAGTATATAAATTATTTGAAATAAAGTTTAAGTTAATGTAGATAAGATATATTTTATTTATTAACTATTACGTGAAAATTAATATTTACCAATATCACAGTACGGAGGAATGTGAAAACGATCTGGAGATTCAATGCACCCGGAATCACATCTTCCATCATATGCATCACAACGTTCGGCGATGCAATTACTACATAACTTTCGACACTCGTAGCCAAATGATCCACGGTCGCAAGCTACTTACAAAAATTATTTATCAATAATCAGGATTTAAATAATTAAATTTACTTTTAATTTCCCGCTATCAAAATCAATGATTTTAAAAAATTGGGAAGTTATCGGGTTTACCCCGATTTTCGAAAATCGAGTTCTTATCAGATCTTTACTCTGAGTACTTTTACAAAGATGTCCTGATGTATATATATATATGTGTAAACCTCTCATATTTGATGTAAAATTCAATCACTTCTTCTACATTGATTTTTAGAAATTTTAAAAATAAAATTTTCTGGAGAATAAAATTTTTCGAAAAAAGCCGCGAACCGTATCAAAATCAGCTATTTCGCTGAAGAGATATTACTGTCGAAAAATTCCTACACTGATAAAAAGTTAACTTGATTTAAGAAAATAAATCTCGAACCAAAAACACCATTTTGAAGAAAATCTGTTTCTTGAGTCAAAAGAAAAAATTCTTGGCTCAAGATTTTTTTTAGGTTCAAATATTTTTCAAGTTTTATTACTCACATTTTTGACATTTGAAACCGCTGTATCCTTGCGCACAAAAACAGCCATCTTGCGTACACATTGTTATATGATTGCAAAAATAATTAAAATATTTACTGCAAGGTGTTGCGCAATGAGGTCCAAAACTAAAATTTGGACAAAGAAGAAAATCTTCTAAAAATAGTATAAAAATTATTATTATTTCTAATAATAAATTTTTAAGAAAATAATTTGTAAAAAAAAACCTGGTGGGTAATAAAAATTGGCAATAGAGCTAAGTATTTCTTCATTTTGCTTATTATAGGAAAATCTTTGACACGTCACATTTGGCCAGGATAGAAATGGATAATTATTCAGGCTCATAACATTTGCTGCTATTGTTTTAACGGCTTCTACATATCACAAAAATAAACCGATAAGCAACAAAAAATACAATAACTAATAAGATCGATTGAAAATTTAAATTACGGTTCGGTAAGCATTTTTCAAATCGAGTTAAAGCCCAGTGATGCTTTATATCATTCCCAGTGGTTGAAAGTTTTGTAATAAACTCTAATGTAATTGGACTTGGATAGTTTTCAACATTGGAAGCATTTATTCGAAAATATTGCCAAGTCGGCAGATCATGTTGGATATTATGGTAAGCAGGTGATCTGGTAATGAGTTCCGTTATCTATTTAGACAAAATTAATATTAATAATGCTATTATCTTTTAATATTGTATAATTTTGTGATTAATTTTACCTGTTTTGTGCCGTTTCCATCAACCAAATTCACAAGCAGCTCACATTCTGAACATAAACCGATTAACATATCGATACAGATTGTATGAGAGTTATCAGCACTTACTGGAGGACTAGTTAGTTTAGCATCAAGCTGATTTGTCAGAATATAGTGATCTTGAAGATAAAAAAATAATTTTCATATTATTAATTTTTCAAGTATTGAAAATAAATATGATAAATTTATATAATTACACTCGTGGAAACGGAAAAGCATCTTAATTTTAGGGTCTGGATTTCCATAAAATACGTAATGAATTTCAACTTTATTTGACGATGTAAAATCAGGATCGGTGTAGGATAAAATTAATTCGTTTGGGTTATATAATTTAATAGTTTGACTTTTACGGTCCCAATCAATTATAAATGTCTTCCATTCGAATTCATTAAGTGGAAAGTGCTTAAAAAATAATATGATCGTTAAAAATTAATATATATTTTATCATTGAATAAAGTTAGTAACATATAACAGGCCTATTTAATAAAAATTTGTGATTTACTTGTGTTACAGAAGCTCTCAAGATACTACAATTTGACCCAGTGACTGGCAATCCTGATGGTATTCCATTCTCGCATTTTCTAATTGCAGTAATCGTATTACCCCAACCACCGATAATCACCCAGTAACAGAAAGAAGTACTGTAATTTTGACTTTTGCACAATAAAAATTGAGCATTTGATGATCCTCGAATTGAAACAACTAAAGCACCACTTTTATGGAATGAAAAGTACGTAGAATTTTGATCTCTATTATTTTTTACGGGATTGAAATTAAGATCGGTTTCATCAAGCTTACTGAATTCTTTGAAATCTATTAGTAAGTTTTTTTTACAATTAAATCAATTTTTATGAATATAAAGAAATTAAAGATAAAAAAAAAAATTTTTTTTTTAATTACACCAGGCTTAAAATTAGAAAAGGTAATACTTTAAATAAAAAAAATACAATGGAAAAAAATGTTGAATTATTCGTTAAAAACTTACTTTCCCAACGACTATCGTAAACAGGACCCATGGGTACATAAAATGAATATGTTTTATTCCATTGAAAATAATGATGATTCCATTCAGAAAAACATTCCCAAGATTCAATGTCAATTTCACATAGTTTTTCTTCATTACTTCTATTAGTAGGAAATACGAAATCTGAAAAACAATTAAACCCTGTTGACTATGTATGTTTTAATTCATCATAATTTATTTAAGCTTGCTGGTAACGCGTTCACACAATATTCAAATAATTAGCACGAAGGTCCACGTGAACTGTAAATGCAACGAAGGTGGCTCAGTGCTGCGAAGCCAAGTGGAACACACCATGGTGATTTGGAAATGATCTCAAAAACATATTATAATTATTTTTTAATTATTATTCAATTGTATGAATTTATTCATCTACAAATAAAAAAAAAAAAAAAAAAAAACTAATAATGTATCGTAAAAATCCAAGCTAGACAATTTTTTTGATTGTGGTAACTTTAAAAAAATTTTATTTCAACTATTCGTCAACTGTATCAATAATATTTTAATTTCCAATTAAACAAAGTAAATTCGTTTATAATAAAAATTTCCCTGTATCACTTACCGGTTAAATCATCGTTGTACACTTCATCAGAAGAAGATGGATTCCATTCTATTTGATTGTTCCAAATAACTGCATCTCTTGGATCATCACTGATGCAGACAAGCAATCGACTTGGATTATGCACGTAACCATAATAAGATTGTATTTGTTGATCTTGGCGAAATATATTTAAATGATCACTTAAAATAAACCCTATACAAAAAGTTAATACAATAAATAATGATAAATACTGCATTTCATTAATAGTTACAATACAATCGTTCTCTAACGCTTCACAACAAACAGACTAATTTCCTGAATAATGAAGATAATACTATATCTTTGAATTATAAATAACATATTACCGATAACCAGCAATAAGTTTATTTCAAAATTCTTTAAGGAAACTATTTCATAACATTTTTGTTTAGTAAATAATTCAGTCAACAATTTTATAAAAATAACAAACTTTTATGAATGAAATCGGAACTTTGACTTGGCAGTGCAAAGTTCTTTGAAGTGTAATTACATATTTAAGTATGGATGAAAGTCAATGACGATATATAATCTCTACATTTCAGATAACTTTTATCATGTTTATTTTTTAATTTTCAATTTATTATTGAATTACGATTGAATAATCAAAGTTGTGTGTTATAGTTGAAATAGAGCAAAAAGATGATAAATTGAAGTATGTTATTTTTTATTTTTTAAACTAATATAATGAAATATATAAAATAAAGTTGATAAATCTATTATTTCATACAAGCCTAGTAATCAAAAAAAATTTTTTTTTAAGTTACGAAAAATTTATAAGAAATAAAATTATAACGCGTATGTTGGTCACGCTTGATGTTTTGTTACAGAATTCACCTTGTCAAACTTTTAGAAAATCAATCTTTTTTTTTATAACACTTCTATCTTATATTTTACGTCTTTATTAACCCAAATTAGATGTATTAAATTTAAATAAATATTAAAATTAAATTATCAAGCGAAAATTAAAATAAAAACTTTATAATATTTCAAAAAAAAAAAAAACTGTGAATTATGTTTATTAACAATCATTTATGTTGATCAATTATTTTTCTAAATATAATATTTATTGTAGAAACTGTTGATCATCAGGTCGAGATGATTAAATTGACGCTGTTGTATTTTTGACATTAAATAATATCCATTTGCCCATGGTTCAGACAATTTTCTACTTTTCAACAATCAAAATAACAGTAAACACCATAATTTCAGTAATGACAAGTTCATATGTACATTTAAAAGAATGTTTTTATTCATTTACAAAATTTACTTGTTTAAACATAATAAAAAATTTCAATTTCCTATTAATAGAATCAAAAGTCGAAGCACATGATGGAGTTTTGAATCTATTTATTTACTGGAACACGAGAACAAAATGATATACCGAATGTTTTCGTAGGTATCTCATAATTGAATTTAAATGTAATAATTTTTTTTTTCATGTAAATCTATAGTTGATTATAATTAACAATTAAAAACGTGAAAAATAAAAGGTTTGAAATTATGTTTAGCAGCTATAATTTAAATTATGAGTAATAATAATGACTTAATGACTAAACCATTATATAAATTTCCATAAATAATTAAAAAAATAATAAGAAAACAATCAAATTCACACGCAACAAACTTTTGAGAACATTTTTAACAAGAATCAGAATGAATTAGTTTTTTTTTTAATGGTATCTAACTATTTTCAGATATTTATTAGTTTTTAATTAAAAAAAAAAAGATTGTCATGTAAAGTTGTCATTGTCAATAATAAATTCATAGCGGTACATAAAAAAAATTACGCCTTGTTGAAACTTTTGTATTCTAGTATCACGTCCAAGAATTCATCTATAAGAAATCAGTCCCAATCATCATTGATTATTGATAGTAATTCATCGGGCGACAGAGTAGTCGTCGGTTGTGGAGTTTCTGATTGCGAATAAGCTTTGGGTCGTGACCGTTGTAACACACGAAGACAAGGAAGAGGTATACCCTGCGATTGGAGTTCTTTATACCCATGGGTACCACAAACTGTCCTCAATTTTACTGCTCGTTCAACAGTTTCACGCGACCAATGCTGTAGCTTTCTTTGGTCAGTAATTAAATACTGTACTTGATCTTCATTGAATAAACTGTACAGAGCTGTTCTATATTTGTCTGTACGTAATACATCCGTTAATACTTTATTTTTTAACTGTAAAGATTTTACCCTATTTCGCACAACGCTGTATGCTCTTTTCAAAGTTACAAATTTTTGTGATTCACTCTCGCCTTCTTCTGTAGATGTTGACTGGTCACAAGTAGAAACGGGAGTTCTAATAACCTAAAAAGAAAAATGATTATTCAAATATTTATTATCTTCTCAAGATTATATTTAAAATTATATATACCGGTAAAGCAAGTTCATCATTTTCTGTTTGCGTTGATATACTGTTTTTTGCAATAAAAGTTTTTTTTGTAATGTGATGTCCGAAAATTGTTGGAAACGCATGTTTTTTTAATTTTTGTAAATTGTCCAGTCTTCTATTTTCCCACATTTCTGGAGCAAAGTGTACCTATAAGGATATAAAATAATTAATCAACCAATTTTCATATTTATCGATACACCCATTTCTTTCAATTCTATGAAAAAAAAAAAAAAAAAATAAATAAATAAATAAATATTTAAATGATTTAAATGATTTATTGTTATTTAAATGATTTATTGATTTGTAATAATTGAAAATACGATCAATTACTTACTTCACATAAACGCGAATCTGAAGTAGGTGACCAATCTTTTATTGTATATTTACGAGTTATATTTTTTATCCATTTAGCTCGAAGTTTTTCGTTCGTTGGCAGACATTTCAATACATATCCTTGTTCCGAAGAATTATTACAGTGAGGAGCTGTACACTTTGGCATTGTGCTTTTTTTTTTATTTACATATCCAACTTGTCACACAATATTATTTTAAATACACTTATGTATCTCCATATAAGCTGTTGAGTATTGGAGGTTATGATTTTGATTACACAGCGTAATAGATCTAAAAAGTCCAAGATGAAAAAAAGAAAAAAGGGAGGGCGGAAAATTATATAGCACACGAGCTTCAGCGCCTTTAACGAGCAGAGGACGCTTAGAGAAATAAAAATTTGGCGGCAAAATTTAATTAACACTCTCAATTGAAACTAATTTACTGACAATGAAAAAAAATAAACATCATAATGAACATTCTATGTTCAATAAAATATAGAGAGAAAAGTTGAAAAAAAAATTTTTTTTATGTTTTATTTCAACTTAATATATGATTATTTTATGTAGTAATTGGATATTCTTTGATCGATTAAAAATCAAAAATTTTTTTTCAATTTTCAGCCTTTCTATTTTACCGATATAAAAAAAAATCATGGAAACGTGAAGCATATTTTGATGCTAGTAAATGTAACAAAAGAGACAATAAATTATCAAGTAAATAAACATAAATTAATAACAATAAAATATTTTTTCTGTAATTTATTTTCTTCTGAAATTTATGACTGCATTACATAAGTGTGAAACTTGAAAATAATATGCAGTAATTAATTTTGGGATTTTAACAAGGTACAGGTTATAATTATTAAATTAATTTATATTAAGCAAATAAGAAAAATTGAAAAATTGATGTTATTATTGCAATAACTACTCGATAATTTAAATTAAATTTTTATATTAACACATTTTAATTGGTTTAAAAAGATAAATAATGAGTTACAAAGTTAATGATTATTGTATATATACATTTATAAATAAAATATTTAATAATCAATTAAATTTTTTTTTTGTTATTTAGCTATTCGTATTAATGGATAATGGAATAGCATATGTCAACCAGCACATAACTCAACAGAAAAAAAAGTCAACAAGTTGCTAATAAATTTGAATTAATAATGGAAAATTCAAGTGGTCAGTGGATTGTTGAGAATTTTGACAGTTTACTGAGCGCTGACGTGAAGAACAATGTTATAGAAATAATATATAATTCAAGTGGTTATTGGATCATAGAAAATAACAACTTATCAAGTGATGATACTGGAAATAATTATTTTATAGAGGAGTCTTTAGATTGTTTTAAATTACCACTAGAAAATCAATGTAAGAATAAAGTTTCAAATGATGATTTATCGAATGGTATCTCTGAAGAAAATTCAATCAAAGGAAATGGGAATTCAAATTTTTTAAAATTAATAACATCAGGTCATTGTGATGAAAATACAACAGATAATAGTTTATCAATTGCAAGTTCTACACAAAATTTCATCAATATGGAAGCATCATTGGGAGTAGAAGAGTCACTTAATCATTTGGGATTGATAACTAAAAATCAGTACAATGATGAAAATACTAATTTTAATAAAGACTCAATTAAAAACGAAGGCTCTTTTAATTCTGTTAAACTAATTGAAAACAAACAGTGTGATGGTTCAAGTTCAGATGATGTTTCAGCGATCGCTATTTCTGAAAAAAGTTTATCAGAAGTAAATAGTTGCACAGATATTTCTAGATTGATAAAAGAAAATAAATTTGATGACCAGATACAAAATAATAATTTACTGATTATTTCGATTATTGACGAAAATTTAACTGAAGTAATGAAAATCATTAATTCTTCTGGTTTAGATAATCCATCGTGTGAAAATGTATATACGGGACTACGATTAGCTGTTCAAAATAATTGTAAAGAAATAATCAAATTTTTAATAGAAAAAATTACTCAAATAAATAGTAACACTGAAAAATCACACAACACTCCTCTACATTTAGCGGTTGTTCAAAATAACCATGAAATTGTTAAAATGTTGTTAGCAAAAAAAGCTGATGTTAATAAAAAAAATGCATTAGGTCAATCTCCATTGGACATTGCAATAACAAATGACAATATAATAATTCTAGAATTGTTTGTAAAACATGCATCAGATATAAATATTACTGAAGAGAACTATGTAAAACTTCTTTTCTATTTATTTGATAAAGATTATTTACAATTAACTGAAAGTTTGTTGACTAAATGCTTTCACATAGATCTCAGTACAGTCTTAAAATATTCTAATCTTCTGTGTAGAGCAGTTGAAAAAGAGCATTATTCTATAGTTAAAAATCTATTAGATCGTGATGCTGATGTTAATTGCAGTCATAGATCATATTTCGGATCTCGAACTGCATTATATATAGCCTGTGAGAAGGGTAATTATAACCTTGTTAAATTACTGCTAAGTAAGGGGGCTGATGTTAATATAGCTTCTGAAATATTTCATTACGAAACAGTATTTAACTACTATCCTATACGGCCTGCTATTGAAGGTGGGCACTATCTTATTGTAAAAATACTTATAGATTATGAAACTGATATTAATAAGTGTTATGATGAGTTTTCTCCGCTACACTTAGCTTGTAATTTCTGTCAAATTCAAATAGTTAAATTGCTTATACATCAAGGAGCAAATATTAATGTAAAAAATGACCTTGGTATATCACCAATTAGTATTGCGGCAAAACGAGGATACATTGATATTTTTAAGTATTTGATAGAAAATGAAGATTTTCATTTAGACTATGTCAATGCTGAATTAATTTTACATTGTGTTACTAAGAATAATTTCTTCAAAATACTTGAGTTAATTATAAGCTACATGAATGAGTTGAATAATAAAGATAATTTAAAATATGAAATCGATACTAAAGTAATTAATAACTTGGTAGATTTTTCACTTCTTCACACTGCAGCTCGTTTCGACTCTGACAATTGTATTGACATTATTGTTCACAGTGGTGCTTCAGTCAATTGTAAAGATAAAGATGGAAAAATCCCTCTTCATGTTGCTTACCAATACGGACGACAAAAATCTGTTGTAAGTCTTCTTAAAAACGGTGCAGACATCAATGCAATTTGTGATAAAGGTTACACACCTTTCGAATATTCTCAGGTATCGAAAAAAAGTGCATCTTATCTAACTAATTATTCTAAATATAATTATGATGACAGTAATATTATATTGGATGAATATAGTCCTGATGAAATGAGTAGTTATTTTGCAAAACAGATAGCAAAAATGAAAATTATAAACTTATATGTTAATACGAAAAATTATGATACATTCATTGATATTAGTAGTAGAACGAAAAATTTGTTTCAACAGCAAGAAGAATATAAAATAGATGTAGAAACTATGAAAACTGAAGTTATAGTGTCTTCGTCTTCTATTACATACTATGATTTTGTCAAAGCCAATTTACGATTAAGGGTTTGGTTGTTAAACGACGAAAACATCTTAAAAATTTTGGAGACTGGAGAATACAATTCAATATTTCCACACTATTCAACAATAATTAGTGGCTGCTATCAAAGAGCTTTGGCGAAAAAAAAACTACTTGATGAATCTGAAAAATATCCTATTTTTGACAGTATTCAAGAGTTACCTGATCCTTGTATTGATATGATAATTAGTTATTTGAGTGATAGCGACTTAAGAACTTTAATCAATGAAAATAAATTTTTCAATAATGACAAATAATATTTGTTTGGAATTACATTATTGTTATTTAATTTAATGATCAATTTTTTTATGAGATGTAATTTTTTAAATACTCGTTGAAACTTGAATAATAATTTTAAATAATATATTGTATATCAATGTTTAGAGAGGAACTGGACTCTTGTATTAAAATAAAATTTTTAAAATCAAGTTACTTTTTGTACTTTTTTTTTTCATTGTGCTTGAACAAATTAAGCGATTAGATAATTAAAAATAAGCATTCAACATAAAATTTTTATATGTAATTTAAATCAAAAATGTGAAAATTAAACTACAGCTTATACTATGTCTTTTATGCTAAAGACTTATTAGATTAATCCAGTTATGTGAACTCTGTATAAAATTAAGTTATCAATAAATTGTTATCATATAATAAAAATTTACTTAAAGACTTTTTTCCAGAAAACGTATAAACTTAATTATAGGGTAGAAGCACCGTTTATGGACACTCTAGCGCTATACCGTTTTTGGACATCTGATGTCCAAATTATTGTATAAATTATTTATAAATGTAAGAGCATCATTAATTCTGTTTGTGTGAATGTAAGCGTTTAAAAATTCTATGAGAATGTTATTTTAACATTACAATTTTCTGCACAATCATTAAATTTCAGTGTCCAAAACCGGTGATTCTATCCTACACAATTAATAATATTACTTAATTATCCAAACAAAATAATTATTTTATTTTTTATAAATATTACAATTTTCTATTATAAAAAAATAGCAAATACTTAATCATAATTCAAATTGGCTGCTGGTCAAAAGAAAAAAATATTTACAATTCCTAGAATAAAATCAAATATGTTTTTTCTTTTTTTCTTTGTCTTGCAGGTATATAATATAACATACATTTCTCAGCTTTCTAAGAATAGAGAGAGAAATAATGTGAATTGAGATAATGTCATTAAAATGGTAATAGATTGAAAAATCAAACCAATTTTATATACAAATATGTATGCGTATGGTATTATAGAAGGGGTAAGGTACAACAATGTAAGTAGCCAGAACTAATGATGGTATATGTAAGAGTCGTTCAGGATCATGTAACCCCTTCTTTTTTTTTTTTAGTTAATGACCAATTAAAAAGCTTAGCGACTCAGCTAATTGCATTTTTTTACCGAGCTTAACCGATTATAATCGAATCCAAGTATTTTATATTAATCTTTTTACATACATACGGCTCCCGTTAAAATTTGAGCATCTTCGACGGTGAAGCTTACAGAACAAAGTAAAGCTTGATAAGCCGTGATACGGATCGGTCAGTCAAGATACTTTTGAAAATTATTCAATTTATCGGTAATTCTTTTATTTATTTAATTAAAATATTTTTAATATTTTGTTTTTATTATTTAAAAAACTAAGATTTTTAAAATATAATTAACATTGAAAATTAATAATTATTAACATTTTGCTTTGTTCGATCACTTTGCGCGTCCTTTTTAATAGCGTCTCTTTGTATGATACTAGCAAATATCTGAGAATTCTTGTATTTTTATAACCAATTAATTATTATAAAAAAAAATATTTAAACAAATTCATACTTTTAATTCTTTCTAATTTTTACATGTTGATTTTTTTAATAAATATTTTTCATTATATTTTAATTGTTATAATTTTGTTAAATTTAATATCATCTCTTCGTACGATATTGATAATTATTTAAAAGTTTTATCAATAATTATTCATCTATTGATATAGTAATAATCATTATACAATTTATAGAAAATTTAAATTTATTGTAAAAAAATTAAGCTTTATTTTATATTAATGTTTTTTCCTTTTAATTATTTTCAGACAATGGAAGGCGGAAAATTACCCGGAAGGAGTCGCGGACGGGCGAGCATCAGTACACGAGGACAACAGCCGCAGCTTCAAGGCGCGTGGTCCCGGCGTCCTGGATTGTGTGAACAAGCCGAGCAATCATCGTACGGCAGATCTGTTCGTGCAACATCACCAGCATCTACTGCATCCGCGTCTGCTTCTGCTTCTGCTGCTACTGAAAAAGTTGCTGCTGGTATGTTAACATTTTATATTAAATTATTAATTAAACTGAAAAAGCTTAAATGTAATTTAAAAATAAAAAAAAAAAGCTATGTAGTATTCTAAAAAATTTACTATGAATTTAAAATTAGAAATTGGCGAATCATCATCAACAGTCAATGTTGGTCGCGGAGCAATGCGAGGACGTAGAGTCATTAATGCAGATCGATCACGTGTTACCAACATCCGAGCTCATGCTCAAACGTGAATTTATATGAGGGCAAAATTTATACGCTGTTATACTAACAAAATTCGTCAAGATTTATCTGTTGTTTTATTGAAAGTTTTAAATAAAATATTATTATTAACAATATTAATTTTAATCATAACAATAATGGTAATTTTTTTTTCTCATTCGCTGACATTAAATTGGAATATAACAGAATGGAAATTCGGCCTTTTAATCATTTATTAATCATAATAATAGTTCAATAATATTAATAAAAAGAAGTTACAGCAGTTTTGTAGCAATTAGACAGTAAAAGTTTCAACGACGCATCTGCTGTCTTGTTTTACTTAATGAAAATTGTTAGCTTCCTATATAATATGACACAGCGCACTCTGGTAATTTTTAAACAGTAATTTATGCTTGACTCATGCGGGGACGAACCACCAGACGACCTTGTTGATACACTTGGTCTTGATTTCTTACAAAGCGATTGATTTTCTTGTGTATTTATTAACAAATGAAGAAATATTAAATTAGTCTTTATTTTACTTGAAAAAAAAAAAAAAAAAAAAAAAAAAATGGATGTATATATGTAGTCCTAATCTTAAATAAAAATTCAATGATTACATTTTTTTCCATCAATCTAGGTTCCACTGCAAGTAATGTATCGTTACAAGCATGGTCTTCCAAGCAAGTTGAAGAATTTGAACATTTGGTTGGTTGTGGTGATCTTGATGGATTGAATGGTTCACTATCTGCTATTGGTACTAATGAACTTGTTAATGTTGTTGCATCTTATAACATAAGGTAAATTAAATTAATAAAACAAAAAAAAATTATTATTTTTCATGTTTATTTATGATTTACATTGAGTAATATTCTTCGAGTATTCTCAATGAAACAAATAAACCATGAATGGTAGTTAATATAAAATAATAAATTAACCATAATAACACATGGGCATTACTGCAACACAAAAGTACTTGATATCTAGTTTGCGTCAGTTATTTCGCTCCCTATGCTATATAGTACTGAATACTGATTTGAGCATGTAGGCTGACAATGTAGTCCTCTCGTGAAGAGCGAGAACTGTCAAACAATCCATATGTCTGTACCTCTCTATAAATCTTACTCAATCTTACGCGTGCAAACTACGAGGGTAAAATTGATTATTTGTTATACTGATTTTTCCCTGTACGTGATTTTTTTTTTACTATTCAGTAAGCTATAAAAAATTTTTTTTTATGTTTTTTTTTTATTTTGTTTGGAAAAAAAATTTATAGATTTGATTTTTATTTAAAAAAAAATGTATGTTAAATCAAGGTAATTGAAGATTGTTGAAATTATGTACGTCTCTTTAGTTTATGCGTGACCTATAAATATAAGGTTGTTTCAGTGAAGCTTTGTTGGCGCTACCCTCGTTGACAATCTTCAAACAGGAAGCTCCTTCCCCGGAAAATCAGATCAACAATCCAAAGTGAGTGCATATCATCACTATATCCCTAAAATTATTTAAACTAAACTATCATAGAGATTTATTGTTTTTGAAGTAAATTTTTGTGAAATTTTTTTGCACGACAGCATGATATTTTGATACTTAAGCGATCTACGTTATCATGATTTTGTTTTAATTCAACTAACGTAAATGAAAAACCTTTAGAATTAACCCAAAAATAGTTCAATTAATTAAAAAAAATTTCCTACATGATGTCGAACTAGTTAACATACTCATGACTTTTATCTTAATGCTTCAAGAAAAAAATATAATGTTATCTCGTTGTTCTTGCCACATACTTTTGTGTGTCATGACTCTTTGATTGAGTCTTCATAATTGTGCTTGACTTCTGAAAGTATTATTGTAGTACTTTAAAGCGTAAATTTATCTGTGATTACTATTTAATTTGAAATGAAAAATTCTTGTTACAGTGATTCTTCATCTTCTTCGTTTACATCATTCTTTAGTTTATTGTATTATAAATATATACCTATTTTATTCATTAACAACTTGCTACTTGCAATTTACTGTTCTCAACTCTTCAAATATTAATAATTAATTATGTGTTTTTTTTTTTTTAATATTGTAGTTTGAATCACGTGTCGCAACGGAATCTTAATGGATCTTACCCAAACAATGGAAATATTGGTCTATTAGTTGAACCAGATAGTAATAACAGCCTCAACAATAATACAAGTAATAGTGTTTCTACAACGACAACAACAATAACATCGGCAACAATATTACCACCGAATAACAATGGTAATAATCGAACCAACACTAATTATAGTAGTAACGCTCCAGGATTTAATTCTTGCAATGGCAACAGTGGGCGAGAACAACCCACTAATTTTCATTCTTTACTATATTCAAACAAAGATGATTTTTCTAATGGTCCGTCCACTGGTAATCATGTATCCTCATCTCAACAAGAGTATGAATTTAATGGAGATAATCGGTAATTGTTTAATTATCTATTTATTTATTTGTTAGTAAAAAAAATACCAATTATAGATTTGGATAAAAATTAAATTACTGAATACAAGAAACAGATTATTATTTTTAGCCCACAGACTCTAGTCAGTTTAGCAAAATTTACTAGAAAGCACTCAGAAAATTATGATTTCGGTAAATTTCGATACCGAACTGGTTAATTAAGAATTCCAAATTTGTTTACAATTTTTTTTTTCAATAGATTTCTGACATTAAAACGAAAATTTTAAGCTTTTGATAAGGTGTTTATCTCAAAACTTCGATTTTTTAAAGCCAAAAAATCGATTTTGCTTCAAAGACCGATATCTCAAAAACTAATTAAGTTACAGACCTCGCGTAAAGCTTGAAAAATTTGGAAATTTATTGCGAAAAATTGTTGTTTTAACAACATATCTACCAAATAACACTCGATATCTACCAAAAATTAATTTTTTTTCAAACTCGATTTTTTAGTTTTACAATTTGTTTTTAGAAACTTTACACATCAGGTTAATAGTATCGGAGATATTTAATTTTTCATTTTTTTGTTTACTTATAATTTGTAAACAAATTAAGACCGCCGTCTTAACTAACCAGTTGAGTATCAAAATTTACCGAAATCATAATTCTCCGAGTGCTTTCTAGTAAGTTTTGCCAAATCGGGTAAAACTGACTAGATTCTGTGGGCTATTTATTTTGCAAAGTGAATAACTAAAAGTATTTTTAAATCGTCAGAAATATGGAAATTGTAGGTTTTTATTTTACAAATATATAATTGTTGAAAAAAAAATCTCATAATATTAAATTTTTAGTTTTTTAATATTTCTGCTTGTGGAAATTTTCTTCATATTTTTTTATAAAAATTAGTTTTAGGTATAAATCTCTATTAATTTTTAGATTTCAATATGTATTGGGAGCATCGACAAGTATGGCAATAAAATTAGTTGATGAAACATTGACGTATCTTAATCAAGGCCAACCTTACGAATTAAAATTAAAAAAACTTGGTGATTTATCAGCATATCGTGGAAGAATACTTAAGGTAATAAGTAATAAGCTTTTAATTTATTGAGGATGCAAATTTTATTGATAAATGTAACTAAAATATTTGTTTTATTTTAATATTTAGTCAACGATTAAAATATGCTTTCATGAGAGGAGATTGCAATATACTGAGCGTGAACAAATGATTGCTTGGCAACAGGCTAGACCTGGTGAGCGTTTGTTAGAAGTTGATGTACCTTTGAGTTATGGTGTATTGGAAGTAACACAAAATGCTTTACCGAAAAATACTGTTGAAATTACATGGGATCCAACTAAAGAAGCTAATGTTTACATTAAGGTAAACTATTAGCTATTAATTTATTAATAAATTTATTATTATTCAATTATTGAATCACAAATTTTATCTAGTATTAAATTTTTTTGTATGGAATCTAAAAGACTAGAATCCTTATCAAGATTATAAATTATTCTAGTAAAATTATTTACTATAATAATAATTGTTTTATATACAGATCAATTGTATCAGTACTGAATTTACGGCAAAAAAACATGGAGGTGAAAAAGGTGTACCGTTTCGGATTCAAGTAGAAACATCGTTATGTAATGATTTTCGATTGCATGCAGCCTCTTGTCAAATCAAGGTCTTTAAATTAAAAGGAGCAGATCGTAAACACAAGCAAGATCAAGAAAAAATACGCCGAAAACCACCAGAAAAACAAGATTTATATCAACCAAGCTGTGAATGCACTGTTTTAAGTGAAGTAAGTAAAAGTATCCGTATAAACTGTTGTAAAAGGAAATTTTACTTCATCTCTTTTATTTATCTATTTAAATTTCATTTTTTTGTGGATTTCAGATACCACTCAATTTATTACCACCAACAAATTCTGGTCTGAACAGTCAAATAAATCCTATTGTGCCTACTGATATAACGTAAGTACATTTTTATCTGTGAAAATTGGTGGTTTAGGTATTATTATTTAATTTTTTTTTTTAATTATTTTCTGATATTATACTGAAATATTTCTTTTGATCATATCTTAAAGCTTAGTCAGCTTTAATTGATGCAGATATCTGATAGCTCTGAAAATTCAGAAAAATATTAAAAAAAAGGATTTTGTGAATTTATTTTTAAATCATTTTTCAAGAAAACATTATATGTTAGAGTGAATTATATGTTAAGATTTATGAAAATGATTTTTTTTTAATTCATATATTTTCTTCCCAATGATTAAATATAGAAATTGCAAATTTTTATTTTGTATTAATTATTATCAAAAATTATTGATTATAAGTGTTCATGTAAATATTAGAGAGAAATTTAATTTATTAAAAAATTTGCCATCTAAAACTTTTAATATAACTCAACCGATTAGTAAGGGATGCTTTATTCTGAAACTGAGATTAGTTTTTAAAGTCGTCAAAAATTGATATTTTTTATAAGTATTTATTTAACGATACTCTGCAATATACATCACATTGGTAAACATTATCACATAAATTTGAATTTAATGAAATTGTAATAACATGGTATAAATAATCAGATAATACTGTACTATTACAGTATAGAGTTTTTTTTGATATACTTGTGGAGATTTTTAAAACAAATTTAAAACAAATTTTAAATAAAAATAGAGTGATTAGCAATAAAAAATTCATTTTATTGTAAGTAAGTATAAGGTGCTTTATATTAATTGTTATTATAAATATTTTATTGACAAATATTGGAAAAGTAGTAATTATGAAAATTTCTTAATAAGTACCCCATGCTTTTTACAATAATATTAATTTTTTTGTTAATCACTTTATTTTTATTTTCAACTTATTGAAAATTATTATCTAATTTTTAGTTGAGTTTTCTATTAAGATGTTTTTTTAGTTTTTTAAACTATTACATATTAAGTTTGTAACTACCTCCCTGTTATGAGAGTGGGTAATTTGCGCGTCAGCTGCCTTTTTTGGATGTGATATCCATTTCTCAGGCTCTTTCCCTAGTAAATTTAAAATTTTTAAAATCCTTTAATAAAGGATCCTTATTGAATATTTTAAAGAAAAAGATCAGGCCACCCATTGATCTTCTGGAGTATAAATCATTGTATCTATAAATCTTACGTATGTCTTCAGTGGTGATATTAATTCTAAACTTGCTACGAAATAGTAATGTCTTGCAGAATTTGCGCTATATTCTTTCCAACCTATTTATTGATAAGCATATCAGTAAATAGAGATCAGATTGCAGTTCCATACTTTGGTATGGGTACTACAAGAGCATCGAAAAGGCTGATAAGAGGATTAGCGATACTAAAATCTTTACTCGTCCGAGTGATGAGTCCAAGAATTTTGTACGCTTATAGAGTGTTCTTATCAATATGCATCGTAAAGGTTAACTAGTTATCAACTATGATTGATGTAATCAGTTTTTACCTGAGTGTGTGAACAATAAAAGGGCATGACGGCGCATTTCTTTATATTTAGATCCAATTTATTTTTTCGGCACCAGTCATGGATTTCGTCTATGTTGTTTTGCAGAATATGAGAGTCAAGTATGTTGGTGATCATTCTATAATTTTTCAAGCCATCAGCATACAGTAGCTATTCTGTTTGAAATTTACTGCCTATGTCGTCTACAAAGATTTTGAATAGTATTGGGCTAAAATAAGATCTTTGGGAAACTTCTGATGTTATGTTATACTTTTCGGAGATGTGTCCATTAATTCCTCTCTTGCAGATTTCTATATATCAAGTAAGACCGAAGCCAATTTAAAACATTACCACCAACCTTGCAATTTCTCAGGATTTTAAGAGGATATCGTGATCAACTTTGTCAAACGCTTTGCTGAAATTTGTATAGATAACGTGTACCTTAACATCACTATTCATGGCCTTGAGAATATAGTTAACATACGTGGAAAGATTGGTCATGGTCGATCTTCTACACACAAATCCATGTTGCTTCGGTGACATAACATTTATGAAAGACGAGATCAGTTGAGGCAGGATAATTTTTTTAAATAATTTAGCTAAAGCAGATTGGGTGCATACTGGCCTGTAGTTCGTGAACTCTGACCTGGATCCGTTCTTATGGATTGGACTTACATATGATAACTTCTACTGTGTCGAAAAGATTCCTTGTTGCAATAATGTGTTTAATATGTGTGGTATTGGTTCACAACAACACAGTTTTTTAAAAAGAAATTAGGGAGGTCATCGCTATCAGGTTCAGCTCTTTTTTTAGGATTTAGCGAGAGAAATTGCTTAAAAACTTGGTCATAGTTCGCTTCGAAATCGTGTAAATTTAGATCATTTTCACCAGGGTTCATGTGGAAATCATCATTGTCATCATGATTCATGGCCACGTAGGTACTTGTATAGAGTGAATAAATTGTTAACTTCAGCTCCTGAGCTGGTTGTTAGATTGTTCCACGACATTGCTGACAGTACGTTGATGTTTTTACTCTACTTAATTTCTTAAATTTAATTTAAAACAGATGCCGGGATAATTCAAAAAATGTTGTAAACTAAATTTACTGAGTGTACATTATGTTAAATATTTCGTAATATTTTTCATTAACAAAATAATATCTTTAGCGGTATATGATTTTTTTTTATAATAATTATTTATGTAGGTAGTATTTAGATATAAAAATATATATTTTTTATTTTTGTCTAATTAACAATCAAAATATTTTTTCAATTACAAAAAAAAAGTATTATAACAAATGATTTCAAGAAACAAATAAGAACGTCAATTTGTTGTCTACTTTTCTCAAATATAGTAAATTGGTTACTAGAATAAATATTAGTGATAGTATATTGATGTAAAAGTTGATTTCAATAATTATTAATTGGTTTATTTAAATGCTAATTGATACGTTCTCCAGAAATCGTGAAACAATAATCTATTATTGGATATTGCTTTTTTTGAATCTTTTACATAAATAGTTCTTGGTAATAACAGTTTAAAACTAGTCTGTATTATCTCTCAATTGCTCGCTAAGATTACAAATTCAGCGTAGATAGTAGATACAATAAGATTATAAGTTTTGCAAATCAAAATAAAAACATTTTTTTTTTTTTTAATAAACATTACTTTGCTTACGCTCTCCCGAGTCAAAAAAATAAACTTAGATGAGCTTACATCAATTGTTTTAGTATAGCAGTTAAGTTCATTCAAGTTAATTTTTTTAACTCGGGCTAGTATTGAAATATTATAAGTCTTAAAAAATTCTTCCACTGTTGGGAAGCTACACTATCCCCGGGTGACGTAGGCTATATTATATTATAATTAATTTTGAAATTATTCCAATTTATAAATTTTATTTTAAGTAATTAACAATGATAGTTAAGATTTATGATAAAATTTTTGATAAAAAAGGAAAATTGCGATAATTATCATTACAATGTTATTTCTAAAATCACTAAAATTTGGTATGATTTAACTAAAGAATAAGTATTAATTACTTTTTTTTTATCAACTTTATCAAGGTTTAAATTTATTCTAATCTTTTTCATATTCCAAATAGTAGTGAAAGAATGACAGAAATAAATTTAGATAACAAAGTACTTAAATTTGGAAAGTACTTTGAATAAATTATCGGAATTTTTCCTGGTAAGCCACGAGTACATTAGTAATATTTTAACTTAATGTATTTATCGTATCATATTTTTAAATGCATGTTAAGTAATATGATAATTAGTAAATGTAAATTTTCGTAATCTAACGAATGTATAATTTATTATATAGTTTTAAACTGATTCAAATATTGAATTAACAATTTTTTTTTTAAATAAGTCAGTGTGTAATTTTATTTTATTACAAATTAATTAAAAGATGAATGGAGTATTCTTGAGTAGAATGATATTTCAATTTTCAAAAATTTCGAAATATTCTATACTAGCAGTCCGCCCGGCTTTGCACTCATACTTAACAAAAATTTCAAAATTAATTATAATACAATATAGCCTACGTCACCCGGGGATAGTGTAGCTTCCCAACAGTGAAAGAATTTTTCAAATCGGCTTAGTAGTTTCGGAGCCTATTCAATGCAAACAAATAAACAAACAATCAAATCCTCTTTACAAATCATTTCCTCTTTATAATATTAGTATAGATAAACATGATACAACTTACAAAATATTTACAGAAACTATGGACTCGTTCAATTTTACTTAGTTGGGCTGAGCTTAGATTAGTATAGGTGCATTGTTTTCTTATACATATTATTTAGAGAGAATATAGTCACTTTTAGTTTTGGGTATAAAATCTGGCTAAGATATGCCAAGAGTTTAGTTAACTTGAACTAGCCCTATGAAAAGTTGTTATAAAGTAAAATTTATCATAGTCACTTTTAGTTTTTGGTATCAAATCTGGCTAAGATATGCCAAGAGTTTAGTTAACTTGAACTAGCTCTATGAAAAGGTGTTATAAAGTAAAATTTATCAAAAAATAATTTACAAAGTTAATTTACTGTTTCATTCAACAATTATGAAGAGAGCCAACGTTGAGTCAGTTTCTGATCTAGAAAGGTAATTTTGAGAATTTTTAAGACTGTCAGAAAATTTTTTTGAAAATTAATAAGTAACGTGAATAAAGAAGATAATTGCACAAGAATAAAGATGTATAGTATAAAAATAAGTTCTAAAAATCAAAACTAAATGATTCAAATTTAAATAAAGTTTATACCGAAAGTTATAACTTATTTCTGTACTAATAGTTTAATTCCATGAAGTTATTCGTTAACTTCAAAAGTTTATTATTCTACATTCTTGTTAGTGAAAAAAGAAAAAATTAAAAAAAGTCAGTACCTCTAAACGTTGGAATAAACTATTATTTCTTAATCCACAGTATAAATTATACTTATCTAACTGATAAATTATAGAAAAAAATAATTCATTTTCTGTTTATTGGATTTGCTATAAATTTTATTGAAATTAAGCTGGAAAAACTGTTTATAAATATGATAGCATTTAAAAATTTTTTAATCAATAATATTTTTAATACTAATAGCTGAAAAATATTCCAAAAATTGCATGATAAAACCTTCTGTAGTAACTTAATTTATAAAGAAAAATCTACCTAAAAAATACCAATCAGCTAAAATGCGTTCGTGATAATATTAATTCAAGTGTATATGCTCTAAATGTGATAGTAAAGAATAAAAAAAAATGACTGGACTTGATCATGCAAACTCGAATGAGGATGTATGAAGTACTCGAAGTGCTTAAATTAATGACGTAAATACTTGATGGTTGATGCATGTGTAGAGTTTTAAGGGGGCGTAAGTGAATCCATGTAATATCAGTGTTGTCAGATTTTCTTTCGTGTTGTTAAATGGTGTTTCATGGTTGATGCATGTAGATTATCTGATGTCCACAGAAGGAACTGGAGCAGAGGAGAAAAGAGATGAGATGAAGAGGGGAGAGTTACTTTTAAAAATTTATATGAGAGAGGAAATATAAGCATCTATTTGTGAATCAGTTTAATACTGTGTTGGACCGGTATTTCCTGGTGAGTTATAATATATGTATATAAATTTGTATGTGTATATATATATATATTTGAAGCGAGCTTCGGCACTAACTGGCTTAAACCGGCTGAACCTAGCAATATACTAGTATATACAGCTAAACTGACAACCAACATCAGTTTAATATGTTTTTACATCAGTGTAGTAAACGCTGTATTGCGTATCGTTGACTAACTTCTGTGGACAACGCCCGGTAATAATGTGATGTGAGATTAACAATTGGAGTCTCTCGTTATTTTGAATTTATTAACACATGTAACATATAATCAACTGGACTATACTGGCTTTACTTCCATTCGATTCTCTTCTATTATATATCTTCTTGTGCAAAAATTAACTCCATACTGTTGTTAGTGTTATTGGAACTATTCAACTTGCACAGTCGTATCGCAGATCGTTGTTATAGACCCTTAACAAGACGGAGATTTTAATAAAAGAGGAAGATTATTCAGTGTTATTCCTTATCCGAAGAAACTTAAATAACATTCAACAAGAGTTTATTCGTTTAAAAACGTTTTCACTCAAATTAAAATTTATTTATCCGTTTTTTATTTATTTTTTTTTTAAATTTTGTTTCGTAGTTGGGTATAACCACATTTACTTTCAATTATAATCAAGATAAATTGATAAACAAACCAATTAAACAGCGCAGTCATGATTTATCGTTAAAATTACGATAGTATGATTCACGTAAATCAATATTCAGTGAGGTTATTTATCCAATTGTATTATTGAGTTTTTTTTATTGTGAAATAGTTTTTGTTTTTGAATTTATTGAAAAGTTTTTATTTTTTCAAAATTTAAAATTACTTTTGATCGGAGTAAAATAAAGAATTTTATAATTATAAATCTAATTATTGTGGGAATGATCGCTCTTGTTGGACCTTTTTTTCACGTAGTCGAGCAGCAACGTTTGCTTTTTAAATTGATAAACGATATTGCAATTAATAAATTGTGTATTGTTAAGTATTTTATAAAATTGATAAACTTATCGGTAGAAATGCACTTGATAAATAATTGTCAAAGTGAATTATTTGATATTAATATGGAATGTGAACCGCTAAAAATGTGTCCCGGAAAGGCATCTCGTTTCCTGAGATGACGAGCAGCTTAATCATCGGTATCCCGATGCCAAATTAAAGACTTTTGTCTTTTATTTCATTGTTAAAATTATAGCTACATATATTTGATTTGAATACATACGTTTTTCATATATATACGATCGATTGAAAGTTTTGTTTAGTCGTGAATAATAATATATTTTGAGTTACGCAAAAATATAATATTTAAGTAAATAAAATGTCATCCAATTTACCAATTTATATTTTTGTGGGTGGAAATACATCTCCTTTATTTTTGGTGTATGTACTTGAACGGGAAGTGAGAGTTGACCAGAGCAGCGGTTTCAAAATAAAAATTATTGCTAAATTATTACATGCACTAGTTTGTAATCCTTCTACTGACAATAGAACATATCATACTTCAAGACGTGATTTTTTGAAACCTGTTAGTTCAATTAGTAGAAAACGGCGTGGTGTTAAAAGAATTAATAACGATCGAAGGCATAAAGATATTGTTTGTCGCATGAGTGTAATTACCAGGTTAATCGAATTCAAAAAAAACTTTAAGTAAGAACTTCTTATAGCTATTAGTATTATTTTTTTAGAGTTATAGTTATTTATATTTAAGTAATCAATAAATTGATATAGAAAATCAATTAATCTAAATCTATTCAAAATGATTTTTTTTAAGCTTAAATTAAAAATTTATAAATAATAAATTTTATTTAATATAAAATTAATTTAATTTAATTCATAAAAAATTTAATTAATTCTTAATAATTTATGGTTACATAGAATATAGAAAAGTAAACTATATCAATAATTTAAAAAGGCAACCTTAACTACCATGTTGATTTTGCTCTGAATATTTAAGCAATAAATTTTTAAAAATTTTATCGATAGCATATTTAACTTCAGTAATGTTTGTTTGATAGAAATACGTGTTATGAAAAAGTTCAAAAAAAAATTCTGGTTTAAGATATTATTGCTTTTTATCGTTTCCTAATCAATCATATCAGTAATAATTTAAAACAGGGTGAAGTTATATTTAAGCATTTTGAAATTTTATTTAATACTCTCACTCTTTATAAGAAGATGAATTTTATTTGTAAATAAATATATAGAGAAATTCTTACCATCATTATTTTAGAATCAGCAATGCATAACTACACGGAAAAAAAATTAACTTGATTCAAGAGAAAAATTCTTGAACCAAGAATATAATTTTGAAAAGGGTAATTGTCTTGAATCAAGACGAAAAATTCTTGAATTAAGTAAAATTTCCTTAGATCAAGAAAAATTTTCTTTAATCAAGAATTTTTCTACTCAAACCAAGAATATTGAGAATTCTCTTCAAAAATATATACTTGATTCAAGAACATTTTTTTTCTGTATAATAGATTTAAGCGATAAATTATAGAAATATTTTAATCTAATATCTCTGCAATTGATTTTGTCTAAAAATTAATGCAATTTTAATTTATTTGATTGAAGTATATGATTCATCGATAAATATTTAATAGAACAATTAATTATTAAAATTTTTATTATGTTTAGTTCAAGCTCGAGAAATGGATCACCTTCAGATTCTGGGCCAGACGATACTAGTGAAGGATCGCCACAACAATTACCAAGAGCATCATCACCAGCAGTTATTCTTCCAGATCAAACATCAAGTACTGATATAACAGTTGGTAGACCATTTTTCCTTCCTGAAAATGCAAATCCTACACAAACAACGGCTTGGTTGCGTGCCAATGGATTTCAAACACTTGAAGCAACGTTCAGAGATTTTTCAACCGGTGATTTTCGTTTACTGACTCGAAAAGATTTCATCGAAATATGCGGCTTAGTTAAAGGTATTCAGCTCTACAACAGAATTAAGTTACGGTTTCCAGAACCATTACGAACGTTATATTTCGCTGTGGAAAATAATGAAACTCCAGTGTGGGAAGTTATATATTTGCATCATTTAAATAGTAATATTCTCATTGCTGAAATTATGAAAAAATTCAACCTTTCTATTGAGCATTTACATTCCATTTGGCTTAGAGGACCACATAATATTCGGATTTCAATTTCTAATGAAGTTGTGGAGAATATGAAAGATGAAAATTTATACTTAATCGAAATTATAAAAGGTATACTTATTTTTTATTTTTATTTTTGTTCGAATATGCTTTTGGATGTTTATAAGCATATTAATTTCATGTTAACAATCATTAATAATCATTGTTTATTTACAGATATGCCTAACGACAGCTACAAACTTCTATTGAAACCTTTTAATGGTGACAACGATGTTTAAAAGAATGCAAAAATTTCCTAAATTTAAATTCAAATAATTTATCTGTCGGTATAATATGCAAAACATATATTTTACTAATTTTCACGGCAACACGAAATTTAGTACCAACAACTTGTGTTTTTTTACAAACACTATTATTCAGTGTATTTGTTTTGGTGATATATTAATTAAAATGAAAAATTAATAAATCGCATATCTATTTTTATATCTCAATCAAAGAACAATGTATCGTATTATAAAACATTACTTTGATTTGAGCTTATCTATTTTTTTTTTTAACAAAAAATTCTTTTTCGTTCAAGAGTAAACTTTAAAAATATCGTTTTTGTTTAATGTTTGATAATAATGAAATTGTTATAAATTGAACAATTCTAGTGACTAAAGTTAACGATAAGAATTAAATTTGTTAACTTTGCATTAGGGAGTTTTAATAGTATATTTTACAAATAATTTAAGATTAATTCTATAATCATCATTATTTTATCATTACTATTTTTTGTTTATTATTAAAAAAACAGAAAACAATTTTTTCTATTTAAATAATTGTCATTAATGAAAATTTTACTGTTTATTATCAAAATTGTATTTTTTTTTAAGTATATTATTCTTTATTGTGTTATTTGCATGCCATTAATACTATTAATTATTTTGGTTTCGATATTAGTAAATAAAAAATAATTTTTATAATGGTAACAATTCTAAAATTGTCCATTAAATAATTGCTTATTACTAATGCAAATGAATTTTTGTTTATTAATTTATATTACACTTATGTCCCAGCATATATCAAATTTAATATGAAAACTATGTATTATTAAAATATTTTAAAACAAGATATAGATAGTATAAATAACGCGTGATGAATCAAAATAAGTTCTAAAAATGTATTTAATTATAAAATTTTCTGTATTTACATATTTAACATGAAGTAAATCTAGGATAAACTTATAACTCAAATAATATTTCTAAAAACTTCTAAATTTTTATTTGATACTGATAAATATCCGTAATTTTGTATATTTATTTTTATCACGTGATATTTAAAAGTAAGAAAGTAATAGTTATTTAGTATTAACGAAATGTTATATTTTATATCTATAAATGAAATCTAAATGTAATTCAGGAATAAATGATTAAATGCTGCAATTATCGTCTGTGTTGTTAATTTATGTAGTTCATAATTTATTTTGAATGTATTTATTTTAAAATTGATTGCACTACGATATTTTGTTTATTCTTTACTTGCAAAATTATCGCTAGCATTATAAATTATTATATATTTTAATATTTTAATTCATGTTATTAGGTATTACTTTCCAGCCACTTAATAACAGAAAATATAAAGAATTATGTTGAAAAGATATCAAATAGTTTGAATTCGTATAGATAAATTCATACCAATATGATAAAAATATATGTAAACAATCAGAAGTAAACCTAAGTCTAGATAAAATTTTTATGGCAGTGTTGGTTTTAAGGTGTTACGCCGTGATAAGGTTTACTACAAATAAACAGAAATCCCAATGTTTTTTTACGATGATATAATCTCATCAATTTCTAGATTTTTTCAGATTAATGAAAATTGTAAAAAATAAGAGAAATAATTTTAATATTTTGAGTAGTTTTCCTAGAAATCTAACTATTGCATTTGTCCTCATGACGGAAATTTTGAAAAATTTATATATATATATATATATATATATATATATATATATATATATAACTGATAATGTCATTTGTAAAATTGGTCGCAAATAAAAAATGATATTAGTGAAATTAGCGAAATGGAAATTTCACCCAATTTAAATTCAGTCATTTATAAAATAGCGAAAAACAATAATTTGTGGCTATGTGAATTTAGCCAATTCTTACTGCAGAAACTTGTAAAATTAGCCGTTTTTAAACTTCTTATAACTTTTGAATGGGTCGGTCGAATCTGCTCTAATTTTCAGAAAAACTAAATTTATGAAAGTCCTTTTAGATGCCTCAAATCCTTTTTTGATCCGTCAATCCATTCAAGAATTACGAGAGATTTAGAAACAGATAATTTTACAATTCACAAAGTTTACAATCGGCTAATTTTAAAATTTTCTGCAGTAAGAATTGGCTAAATTCACATAGCCACAAATTATTGTTTTTCGCTATTTTATAAATGACTGAATTTATATTTGGTGAAATTTCCATTTCGCTAATTTCATTAATATCATTTTTTATTTGCGACTAATTTTAGAAATGACATTATCAACTAATTTTCAAATTTATAGTTCATAAACGTCCGAGTTTACAAATGGCTATTTTCCAGTAAACTTAAAAACATACTTAAATTAATGTCCACGATTGTATATATCTTAATTAATCTTAATGAAATTCAAATAGTTATTTTTGGCCGATTCTCGATCCCAAGCTCGGATGATTAGTTTAAAAAATGAGAGCATTTCAAAATTAAAAATAAATGCAAATAATCATATTTCTCTAGGTTCTTATCGAAATAACTTGTTAATCCGATAACTTATCGAATTTCTGTAAACTGCATCTGAGATTCCATAAAATAAGCGTCAACTTTCATGTCATTTCATTCTCGAAGACTAAACATAGCCTACCTACTTATCTATAGATATTTGATAATATTTTACTACTAATCCATTTGTTTCAATGATAGTTCAAGTGTTAATTTTTTTTTTTTTCATATAACCTGCATTGAAAATGCGAGTTTCAATACCTGTTGAGCCAACCGAAACTAGACAATTTCAGACCAATGCGACTAAAACTACCAAAAATCGCAAAAATGCAGTTATGCAAGCGAAAAAAATTTTTTTTTTTATCTAAATCAAGCATGTTTGTTATGTATATCGATGCGTTGAATCCATATATGAAGATTATTAAACTCGTCATACCTCCAAAATCAGAGTAAATTGCAAAAAATGGCTAACAAATTGTAATTTTGCAAATGAAAAAAGATTTTTTAATGAAGATCAAGTATTTTTCTAATGTATTTTGATGCGCTGAATCTAAATCTAAAGTCGGTTTGGCTTGTACATCCTCCAATTTTAGATAAATCGTGGAAAAACGCTAAAAATAGCAAAAATAGTATTGTATACTTACAGCAATAAACTATAAACATAATTTCTTTCAAATTATGCTAAATTAGTAATAAATTGTTATCTAAATGATAAAAAAAAAAAAATAAAAACGAAAAAAATAAATCCCTTGATTTTATATTGTTCTTCACTTGTATCGAACTATTTTCTTCTCAAATGACCTACGCAGCGGGTTTCTTTTTCGTTGTCTATTTCTTCTTGGTATTTTTCTTTTTAGTGTACAGAAAAAATCTGCTATCATGTTAAAATTTCAATTTCCTTGATATCAATTCTCCATATTTTTTGATGAAATCGTTCTCCTTGTTCTTCACCGTAGTCTCTAAGATTTTCAGAAAAATGATCGAGGAGGGAATGTAGAAAGTGCAGAGAGCACATATAGCATCGAGTGATGTGACCTTAATCATTATTTTATTTAAATATATTTATTTATAATTATACAGGTACAACCATAAAAATTTACATGATACCTGTAAGTATGACTTTTTATTTTAATATAAGTAATTTTACTTCATTCCATTAGTTTCAAAGCGTTCTGATGCTTTAACGATTGATATAAACATTATATATCACTTAAATACTTATTATGAATATAATTACAGTTTTTTTTATACAAACTAAGTACTCGATTCCTAACATAAATTTTTTAAATGCATCCGCAATATTTTTCCACTTGCATTTCTTGGTATTTCTTTGATGAAACTGACACCTCCTCTTAGTTCTTTGTACTCTGAAACTTTTCCTTTTACGAAGTTTTGTATGTCCTCGGTAGACACCGATTGGTTTGGTTTTAATACAACAAACGCCTTCGGTACTTCTCCAGATCGTGGATCAGCTACTCCAACAACAGCAGCGTCAGCTACCGCAGGATGCGTTCGTAATACCGCTTCTAATTCTGCGGGGGGTACCTAAATATAGACATAGATTATAAATGTAATTATAACATGCAATAACAAAAAATTATCATTAAAGATAAAAAATTGTTATTTTACTTGAAATCCTTTGACTTTTATCAATTCCTTTAATCTATCAGTTATAAAAAAGGCAAAATCTTCATCACAGTAAGCAATATCACCCGTTTTTAACCATCCATCTTGTAAAGTTTCTTCTGTCGCTTTTTCATTTTTAAAGTATCCTTTCATCACATGGGGGCCTTTTATCCAAATTTCTCCAGTTTGACCTGGTGTAACAACATCTTTACCGGTTATTGAATCAACCAATCGTACTTTGCATTTATTAACCGGATGACCAATACTTGAAAATTTAGTATTCGACATTTCTAAAAATGACACCGGTGAAGATTCGGTTAAGCCATAACCTATATGATAAAACATTTTTGTAGGAAAATTGATAACTTTTTTTAATAAATTAAAGTTTTTTGTTTTAATTTTAATTCAAATTTTTACCTTGAAGGATTCGTAATTGATCAGGAGTTAAATTAAACTTTTCATAAACTCTTTCTACATCTGATCCAGCTAATGGTGCTGCGCCGCTAAAAATAACTCTTACGTTTTTGAAATATTCGGCTTTAACTGCTGGATGTGCACCAAAAAACAAAACGATAGGGGGTACACTGAAAATTAATGTACACTGCAAAAAATAAATGTGTGGGCTGTAGAAATTCAATGTAAAATATTTACAAGTGTTAATTAAATCATAAGAAATTGATATTAAATATAAAACAATCTATTACTTTTTTTTTTACTGCCATACAATTTAGGTTTTATTTAATTTATTTACCTTATTCTTTGATAATACATTTATATATGTGTCAGGAGTAAAACTTGGAAGGGTAATTAATTTAGCTCCCGAGCACATTCTTGGCAGCATTAAACCGTTCATACCGTATATATGAAATAAAGGTAAAACTGTTGGAATGACATCTTGAAAGTCATCTGAAATTGTTAACAAATCGTTTAAAAATTTGCGATATAAAAATACAAAAGTATTGTGTTCGCTGTAAATATATGAATATAAAATATTAAGTAAAATGAAAAAATTATAAAAAAGTAAAGTCTAACATTTCTGCTACTAAAGTGTTTTTGTGAACATTACCTACATAATAATTTTTTTGAGGGAACGTAAGTAGTTATTCTGAAGAAAGTAATTCTGTGAAATATTTTTTATTATTTGAGAGCAATAATTTTTCTTCATACCTCGGTCGAAAGTACGTACTTTCGTCCCTACTAGCAGGGATTAAAGTTTAACCTTTACTCCCTGTGAGAAGTACACGCGTGCCCTCTGTAATAACGGGAGGAAAGAATTTCATATGTGTAATTAAACTCGTAACCAGGGACTATTTATTCTGTCGCTATAACAAAATGTTAACCGCTGTCATTTCTGTTGCTACCTCTAACTTTAAAAATAATTATCAATGTTGTTTTGTCGTCTATTAATTTAATATCAACGTACTATTAAAGTCAATTCAATACTCCTACCAATAAACTATCCTCAGAATGCTTATCTACAAATTTAAATTTGAATAATCAAATTATGAATTATCAAAACTGTATATTTAGTAGAGATACAATTTTTAGTTGCTGTAATATCAAGTTTGAAAACTGTGTTTTTTATGGAAGTATTATTAATAATTGTGATCATTCAATTGAAAATGAAAACGATAAAAAAAACGCAATAAGAGTTTTTAGCCTATAGTATGTTTTGTTTTATAAATTTTATAATAACTAATATAATTTGTTAAACTAATGAAAATGAATACATCTTTGATAAAATAAAATTAATTTATTACACTGAAAAAAAAAAAAATACTTTTACTCGATTAACAATTTCTTGGTACAAGAAATTCGATGACGATCAAATATTTTATTATTATTAATTATTAATTTCTGAAGAGAAGAGCATCAATATTTATCTTTGAATAATAGATAAACACCAGAATAACTTAATTTAAATTAAGTAAAAATTATTTCAATCAATTTAACAAGTTCGTGAGCTAATAATACATATTCTTGAAAATTTTCAAGAACATGAATTCTTGTATCAAGAAAATTTTCTTAATAAAAGTATTTTTTCTCAGTGTATTGTAAAATATGATCAGGCTTGACTCTTCGAATGTATTTGATACCTGCCTCCACGACCAGCAGCACTCGCTTCGCTCGTGCCGCAAATGTCAGGGCAGGCATCAAAAACATATACTTATCAACATTTAAAGTTAAAAAAAGTCAAATTAATAACGTACTTTCGACCGGCTATGAAGAAAAATCGTATACACTACACGGCCCAAAAGTTGAAATCTCGTTCCTTCGAGCATAATGACGCGCAAGGCCGAAGATTCAACTTTCGGCCCTCGTAGTGTAATATACTATTTAATTTCTTCAAAAGAAAAATAATTATTTTATTAAGAGCCGGTCCCAGCTATTACAGTTTCGTGAATCTCTCCTAAACAAAGAAAAATTATAAAAAAAAAACTCTCTGCTACTCGATAGATTATTCAATTATCTATTTTATAGCAGAGCGTTTTTTTACGAAATTTTCATTTGTTTAAGAAAAAATCATTAAACTGCAATAGCTATGCTGTTGCGAGTGCGACAAGGATAGTACGGTTTCTCTCGATGAGTGCAAGGAGAGAAAAAGATGGGACCTATTTTAAAATAAAAAAAAAATATATATAACTACCTGACACTTGTATGAAGTCACAGCTAGAATCAGTCATTATTATATTAGATATTAAATTGTGATGAGATAACATTACTCCTTTTGGAAGACCTGTAGTTCCACTCGAATATGGCAGTACGGCAAGATCATGGGGATTTTGAGATTTTAGCTGCACTTGTGGTAATGTTTTTCCTTTCGTTGTGAGATCCTTTTACAGGGCAAAAAAAAAATACGGTTAAACCTTACGTGATATAATATTAAAAATATTCGTATGTCTCTTATATTAAGAGTTAAATTATGATAACTCCCAAAATGAGTGTACACTGATGAAAAATTTAACTTGATTCAAAAGAAAAAAATCTTGAATCAAGAATACCATTTTGACGAAAATAATTTTCTTGAGTCAAGAGGAAAATTTCTTGAATTGAGAATAATTTCTTGCCCTAAGAATTTTTTTTCTTGACTCAAGAAAATGATTTTCTTCAAAATAGTACTCTTGGTTCAAGATCTGTTTTCTCGAATCAAGTTAAATTTTTTATCAGTGTATAATTTTTATACTTAGATGTTTCTTAAAAATTAACTGATAGCAAATAATTCAATTATTTCAAACTCCATGATATGATTACCTTAAAAGGAATTGATCCTGTAGGTAAAACTCGGTCTGTATCTTCGACAACTATAAAAGGTGAATTCGGAGGAAGACTTGCTTTTGCTGCAATCATTACATTAGATGCAATTTCAGTGGAAGTAATAATTGCTTTTGCTCCAGATGACTGTAGTTGTCGGGAAATTTCATCTGTTTTAATAAATTTGATATGATTATTATATTATAATAAACTTTTAAGTGGTGCACTATCGCGGCATCCCACTTGACGCGCACATGGGGTATGGCATACTCATACATTTTTAATCAATTATATTTTATGAATAAGTTAATGAATTTCATTTTATTATTTTTAATGGATACCGTAGAGAGTGTAAGAAAAGATAACGTTCATAAGATAATTATGAAGAAAAAAAAATCTTTTAGATATATTGCCAAAATATCGTCTTTTGCTTGAAATAACATATCTTTGTGAAATTAATCGATAAAAATTTTTTACCAATGGCGTTTAAAATAGGATTAAACATACATTCAGAAACCTCCGTTAAAGGATAAGAATAATTGATTTTTTTAGAATAAGAATACTTATAAAATTATAAATTTTATAAACTATCGAGAGGGTGATCGAATGTCACGCTCTGTATATGGGGCATTCCACGCCAAATCGACCACTTTTGACCCTGACCCCTTTTGATTTGGCTGAAAGTTTACCATCTTTTTCTACCCTATCAAAAACGTCTCTCATAATTTTTTCAAATTTTTTTACCCAACCAAAAAAAGTTCCGAATTTTTCAAAAAAACCGCTTTTTTATTTTTAAATTGCCATAACTTTTTCAAAAATTGGCTTATCGGGACGTTTTTTTTTCAAAATTTTTGTTATTAAATGCTCTTTTTGGAAAAAAATATAAAAAAATTATTCAAACCTATCTTCATCGTTATTTTTTAGATTTTCTGAAAAAACT